GTGTTTGCCTCATGCATATAGAGATCAGTAACACTGAATCTCCTGGAACTGGAGTTACAGATAGTTTTTAGCCACTGTGTGAGTTCTGAGTGGTACTCTGCAAGAATAACAAGTGCTCTTACCATTAAGTTCTCTCTCTAGCCCAAGAAATCATGATTATTTAAAGTAGATGTAGCCCAAGTTCCAGTATATATATAAATTTGTATTAAAAATTCCTGTATAGTCCCAAATGAACACTGAGGACTTTTATTCTGAAATCATTGTTTCTTTTCTATTTAGAACTAATTATTATTTATAAGAATTCAATTATTGCTCATTATTAATGAGGGTATTAATCAGACCATTACTTATGTTCAAATGAGAAAAAATATGGATTCCAATTATATTGAAAGTCTGTTCCCTTTATTGTTATTTTAATTCAGCCCTATGAAATTCTATCTACTTATAGGTCTACTAAAATAAAAGATAAATATTTGAGCAAAAGTGATTGTTCTTTTTATCTCAAATGCACAGGAAGAACCTTTGTAGGGATGTGTAATAGATTATCAATAAACAATAGTAATGGATATCTGTGACAACTGAACCATTTGCAATCTGATGTAGTTAAGGAATTAGAAGAAAATTGCAAAATACAAAATTTTACTTTCATTTTTCAAGCAAAATCAGAAAAAGCTAAAGCAATGTTTCATAAAAACTATTGTCTATGTTTCTGATGTCACACTATGTCTTAATTCTTACAGTTTAGGCTACACATACAATGTGTATTCATTGCTGAAGAAACTAACCCCAGGGGTCAACAAGTCATTTATAAAGGAGTAAGTGTCAATTTCTTAATGGAATATTGAAGCAGTATCATAGAGCAGCTAAGTCTAGGTGTATATTCTTCACATATTCAGAATACACAAGAGAAGAACTTTGGTCCAAAAAATAACATTTTCTAGGCAGCAAGCCATTTTTCATACTGAATTTATCATCTTAGGAACATCTTAACATGAAAGTCACAAATGAATAGTCTTTTTAAAAAAAATCTCATCAAAGACCATGCAGTAAAAACAAATCCATTTTCTTTTTCTGGATATTTCCCTTGATTTTTATTCTCCCATTTAAAAATTGGCAAAAGGCTTTAAGCTTTTGGGCTTTATGTACAACAGCAAGCATAAATATGCATGACTGAGCATACATGTAATAATGTGTGTTTCTTAACTCTAGATGGTCTCTGATAACCAATTTGAAGTAAAAAGAAAATCTCCAATTTTCTTGTGATGTAACTAAATATGAAAACATACGAAAAATGTAGAATTCAGAAACAAAAATATCATTAACCATTATTTAATTTCATGAAATCTGAATAGTCAAATAGAACAATCACTTCCATATAGTCAATTTTACTTTGTTTTTTTTTTCTGTATACTTAAATTATAATTTGAGTTTTAGATTGGACTAAGAAATGTGTCAGAGTCAATTTTCAGAATTTAGGCCACTATGTTTTACAGGGGAAATTTAAGGGGAAAGTGACTTAGAAAAAGAAGAAAGCAATAGTGAGCGGCACTGTCCCCCAGTTAACTAGAGACTTGTGGAAATGAAAATCTCACAAAAGCCATGGATTAAACAACAACACTTAGGAAACAGTAAATGTAAGGGAGAGAACCCAACTCATGCTATAAAGAGCCCATCTGTGTCCAAGACTTTTGAGATGAAAGAGAAAGATTAAAGAACAGTTACAGTTTGCTTACATTTCAGAGAGTTTAAGCTTTACTCTTGAGATAATTAGTAAGAGTTTGTTGGGAGAGTGTCAGTTCTTCTGTGATGTCATATGGGAGTTTAAACATTATTGAGAAATAATATAGTAAAAGGAAAATTGTAATCCTTGAAGTAAACGCCCTATGGAAAATAAATACCTTTCAATGAGTTGATCATTTTCTACCTCATAAAAAATACTGCTGACTCATGCAATGAGCACAGGACTCAATCCCACTGCCTGGATGCCTCCCAAACAGATCAAGCCAATCAACTGTCTCACCCATTCAGAGGGCCTGATCCAGTGGGGACCCCTTAGCCATTGGTTCATAGTTCATGTGTTTCCATTTGGCTATTTGTCCTTGTGCTTTATCCAACCTTGGCTGTTTGAAACCTGGGGCCTATGCAGGATTGCTTGGCTCGGCCTGGGAGGAGGGGACTGGACCTACCTGGACTGAGTCTACCAGGTTGATCTCAGTCTGTGGGGAAGGCTTTGCCCTGGAGGAGAAGGGAATGGAGGGGGGCTGGGGGGAAGGTGAGGGGGACGGGAGGGGGGAGAACAAGGGAATCCGTGGCTGATATGTAGAACTGAATTGTATTGCAAAATAAAAAAAATAAATTTAAAAAAAAAAAAGCAAAAAAAAAATACTGCTGTTTTTCAGGATTAACAAAATTACATATATTCTGAAACCACATCTAGCTGGAAAGGATCTAAAAGATAGTCAGCAAGGGGATGTTTAATAGGATTATGGATCTTTGTGTTTGATTTCCTTTTATCTTGAATGTATATTAGAATAAAAGTTTGACATTTTCTTGCAGTAGTTTGAGTAACATTCACTGTGGCATACTCTAAAAATGTATTTTTATGTATTGTGCATACAAATTTAAAATGCCATTGTTGTGAGTATATTTTCTTTTAATTCACATATTGATTTAAATTATCATTAGATTTTGCACATAAGTGGTATTAATATTTTGCAACATATTAATATATAGTTGAATCATTTATTTTGCACCATTGAGAAATCAAATTATGTTCAATTAACAAAATTATTGGCAAAGATGTACCTGAGACATCTGGTTGTCCTATCTTTTTCAAGGAGTTATACATGAAAAAAGAGTTCAGGGTGAGAGGGAAATGATGACAACCTTAGTCACGTTTCTTTCTTTTTTTTTTTTTTGTTACAGAGAGGGAGTGTGTTCACTATTTCTGTTTCAGTTTGATGCAGGCTGAAAATAACTGAAAGGAAAGAACCTCAATTGAAGAAATAAATGCCTCCATATGGCTCTTAATTAGTGATTGCCTGGGGAGGACTCATTCCACTGTGGGTGGTGCCAACTTCGGGCTGGTGGTCCTGGGCTCCATACAAAAGCAGGCTGAACAAACCATCGGCAACAAGCCAAAACGCAGCACCCTTCCATGGCCTCTGTGTCAGTTCCTGCCTCTGGCTTCCCGGCCTGTTTTAGTTCTTGCTCTGACCTCCTTCAATGATGGACTACGAAAGGAAGTATAAGCCAAGTAAACCCTTTCCTCATCCAGTTGCTTTTGGTCATGATGTTCCATCACAGGAATAGTAACCCTAAGACAGGGAGTAGATATATTCCAAATATTTGCAAGGTTTGGGCTACATTTCTTCATTGTGTTTCACTTTAACAGATCACAAATGAGTTAATTCAGAAAAATCCAGTTACAACAAGGTGACAAGACTTAAGTCCAAGCAAAAATTGTGACATTTAAATGCTTTAAGGAGATAGAGAAGCTTTCCAAAGGTAACATGACTTAAATTTGAGGTAGATGAGTAGATGTGTCCAGGCACAGACTAATTTTTCTACGCAGAATAAAGTACAAATGCTGAAGACATTTCTGTCAAAATGTAAACAAGCTCCAAAATTTCTTAAAAGGAAAGAATGCAAACTTAAAACAATGCAAAATTTTCATGGACAAAAAAGAAACTGTTTATAAAACATTAGAACCTATGGCTCCCTATGGGAAAATTTGCTATTCTTTCGATTACAAAGTTTTGTTTTCTGGAAGGGTTAATGAAGTGGACTTATCCCACCAGGAACAGAAGAGTTGGCTCACATTCTTCCTCAGTTAAGTTCAGAAAGAAGGGAAGTGTGGGACAGGAGAGAGCAGTTACCCTGGGGAGCTTGTGTTTAATCTTCCTCAAAAGAACATGAGCTATCTATCAGTTATAAATTCCGAAAATGAAAAACTACTCTTCTAGAATCAATGTTAAGTAATACATTACAGCATACATTTTTCAGAAACTTGAAGATAAATTGATTTTCTGACTTTGTCGAACCTTTATCATATATTCCCATGTTGTCAACCTCACCTATGTTGGTTTTCAAAATGGTCTAGTGACATCACATTACATTTCTAAATAAGTAGCCCTCATTAATATGCCTAATAATTGCTTCAATTAAAATATGAAATATATTTGCTATAGGAAAACAATACATTATTTATTCATTCATTCATATATACCTTTAGGAAAGTTTATTATGTTCAACTTATTGCCATAAAACACCTGAATTAAACAACCTCTGGAGTTCTATCTCTCATTTTCAAACTGGAAAATGTAGGCATGCAATATGTAGAATTGTGTTATCTGTCTACTTAGCATTTAGTGAAATTCATATTCAGTAAGTATACATGACGATTGATGTGTCTATGTTAAAATCACTCAGCAATTGAAATGAAAGCAGCCATTGCAAAGTTTGCTAGTTTCCTCTCTCTCTCTCTCTCTCTCTCTCTATATATATATATATATATATATATGTATATATATATATATATGTATATGTATATGTATATATATTTACTCCAGAATGTATGCCTAATATAAATACTAATCCTATTCCTCAAATGACTAGCAGACAGCTGCCTCAGGCTTCCTAAACAGTGACTAAAACTGAATCTGGCAATGAAACATTCTTTTGAGATAGAAAATATGCAGAATTAGCAAATGCTTTGTGTTAGAAATGATTGTATTGGTTTGTTAATCACCGAGTAAGTGATATCATGTTAGTACTGTTTCCATGGAGAGTAGAGTCTGTCTAAGAAGGAGAGAACGTATATGATAACAATTGGCAGCAATATGGACAAGATAAAACTTAAGAACGAAGGCACATGTAGACATTATCTACTGCCATGCTGTTTCTTTGATTTGTTTTAGGATGTGCTTAACAGCCCCATAGTCGGATCAAGGTGAGGGAGAGAGCAGCTGCAAAGGTTCAGAAACTCTTTCCTCCCTTACCTGCCACTGAGGAGGAAGCCAATCATCACTGCCAACAAGATGACTCCCACCGTCACCGACACTGCAATGATGGGAATCTGGCTTTGATCACTGGATGCTGCAACTGCTGACAGAAGACATAGAAAAAGGAGCTTGTAGTTAAAGATACCACGTGCATTCAAAATGTGAGCTGCTTCACAGCAGGTAATTGATTCATAGTTTAAACAATTCACCCACATCCAGCTAAGGTTACTTCGTAATATCTGTTTTCAGAAGGCTTCTGAAGGAGGAAATATTTACTCACCAAATATAAATCAAAAGCCACAGTAGTCACTAATTATTTTCTCCCTATAATAAAAATAGAATGCAGATTGTACAGTACTACAGTACTTGAATCTTGCAAGGTAGAGAGGAGTACTGTCTATGACTTCAAACACACATATGTATATAAGAAAATATTGAATATTCAAGCTTTGGCATTTCTGGAGTTTGAATGTTGTTCTCTAGCAAAAAAATATATGAGCACAGGAATTCTTCCCTGTAACAGAATGTCTAAAATAATGGGACTTTGACCTTGCTGGAATAAAATGCAATACCAATAGTCTATATATAATTTAATAGCATAACTCCACATAGAGTATAATATGCCACCATATTTTATAAATTGGACCACTGAAAAGGATCAAAGTGTAAATTTAAAGCCTTATGGATATGATTAGACAAATTTAAAGTACTTGTTTACCACACATTTTAAATGCATGGATTGATAGCTGTTTATAACTTTATCAACACAATTGTTACAATATAAATATAAAAGGTTTAGGTAGTTGTCTCAAAGGAAGCATGATAATTTTTGTTTTGTGCTGATAACTATTCTTATCTAGAAAACATATACAGCAAACCAAATTTCCCTAGGGGTCTGAGACCCTCTCAATAGGTCACCTAACACATGTCTTGTTAGTCACCAGATTATAATGAATGCCTAAAGAACACTGGTGGTTGAACATGTCACCATCACATTCATACCAGAATTTAATATAAAATGGAATGTTTGACCTATGTAATCATAAAGCATCAAAGCCCATTTTGGTCACATATGTATAATACTTTATACATGCATAATGTTTTTATATACTCTGTTCCTAGAATTTGTAGGCTACTACAGTGTTCAATACTAATATAAGATACATACAATGAAAACAATTACAATAGGTAGGTTCTGTAACATATCTTTTATAACAAAGCCATTTTAAAGTAAGAGATTTAATAATTAATTCATTTTCCAGACTGTATCTTTATGACTTCATAAATACATAGTATTAAATCTATTTAAAAGTTTATCTGAAAGTTAAGCATTAGATTCCAATTTTTATACTTTTAATTAAACTCAAGTCACGCAATTTTTTTTGTATGGGAAAGAAATAGCTAATTTCTATCACTAACATTTTTTTCTTTATAATATCTAGTGGGGTAGCATGAAGGAGCCTGTTCATCATTTAATAAAAATTATTTATGTAAATCAATTAGAGAAGCTTTAAACAGAAGCAATGTAGGTTCTTAGAGGGCCATGCCATATGAGTTTACTGAAACTGTATTTTAATAATTATTCTAATAATTATAGCATGAATCCAATAATTAAACTCTCATTTTGTTACTTTTTAACTGTGTGTTTTCTTTTCCATTGCAAATTATGGAGCTGGGTTAAGAACACACACACGTACACAAACATGTGCATGTGTGAATGCACACAAACACATACACAGAAACAGACACACACACTTACACATGCACACAGGTGTTTGTGCATGCACACATACACACAGGAAGACGCATACACACGCACACACACACACACACACACACACCATTTCACAATCCTCATGTGTATTACTGCCTTAACAGAAATCTAATGGTACAGCTCCTTCGTGCATAAACAAAGCATGCTTTTGTCTTCTAATTTAGCTGTAATGTATTGGCTTTAGGACAAGTGATCGAAAATCATTTGTTGAAGCCTGAGGTTATGTTTTATGAAATTAAACAAGAAGTGGGCACCAAAGAGCATTTCAGAATCATTTCCAGATTCTCCATTCCAAGATTCTGACACAAATTTAATTTTTACTTTAGGAAATCAGATTGGATCCTGAAAGCACCATTTTCTTGTCAGATTCAATGCTTAAGGAAAGCTCCCTGTAGAATTTTCTTAGAAAGACTAAAGTAGCGTAGTTCAATAAAACAAGTAAAAAGTAAATGGCAATAATTCAATAAAGCATGGCACCTGGGGGAACGAAGTCTTTAAAAGCACGGTTTAAACATTTCTTAAGATGCTTGAAGTAGCAGCTCCCAGTGGACCAAAGCAGGAAGGCAAGACACGCAGTGTTAACCCTCAGACCTACCATTATAGGATGGCAGAGGCCTCCTACCTGAAGGGGTCAGAACTGGAGAGAGGGACGGGAGAAGAGCTGACAGAGAGCCCCGGGAGCCTATCGATCCGCAGACTCTCTTCTGGTAACCATTACAGAGACAGGGGTTGACAGTAATTAAAATGACTTACACACTGGTGTGGTTTCAAACTCAAATCTTCGACTGAAGACGCCGTAGCCTGCTGCTGTACGTGCTCGAATTTGGAAGACATACACAGACGCGGGCTTCAGGCCTTCTGCAGTAATGGTGGTCTCTTTAGACTTGATAATTGTGTAGCTGGTCTCCTGGTCCTTGGATGGCACATGTAACATGGGGGAAAAAATCAGTCTTCAACACATGAATTACTGACAGCAAAACAAAAATCTCATAAATTGGACCAGAACTCAAAGACTTTCTATTATATGCACATTGAAAACAAAACTAAAGATCTTCTCTGCTACCACTGAAGCACTTTAGTTTGTTAGCAAGTGTCTCCAGAACGTAACCATTTTGATGACATTATATTACGATCTATCAAATATACATTGGGCAATAATAAATTTATAACATTTAATAATATTATAAGGTGGGCCTAGAGAAATGGTTCAGCTGTTAAGAGCATTTACTGGCCTTTCAGAAGACTCAGGTTCAGTTCCCAACACCCACCGGATGGCTCACCACCACCTGTAGCTCTAGTTTCAAGGGATCTAATGCCCTCTTACATTCATGGGCTCCTGAAACCCCATGGCATACATACATTCATACATTTTCTTTCTTTCTTTCTTTCTTTCTTTCTTTCTTTCTTTCTTTCTTTCTTTCTTTCTTTCTTTCTTTCTTTCTCTCTCTCTCTCTCTCTCTCTCTCTCTCTCTCTCTCTCTCTCTCACTCACACACATACACACACATACACACACACACACAATAAATCTTTAATAACATTACAGGAAAGCATTCCTCAGGAGACTGCATTTTGCTATGACTATGTATGTGCTTGTTTCTGTAGGTCTGCCTTCTTGTAAAATCCCTGACATGTTCACTAGCCCTCCAGAATGCTGATATTATATCCTGAGTATTCAGATTATATATAAGCTTTAAATCTTCTATAAATTTGATTTTTAATTATATTTAAAGCTTGTGAGATAAAATAAGTACTTCCAACAAACTTTAATTTTGCCTGATTTAATCTAAACAGGAAGCAATAAAAAACTGCAAAAACACAGGACTTTTTTTTTTTTTCATTTTAAAACAGGTCCGACTGTAGTAGAGACTAGTAACTTAGTTATTAGAGTTAGAACAAAAAAGAGATTGGAAGCTAAACAAAGGAAATCTCCTCCTGTTGGAGGGATGATAACAGAAGTCCCCACCCAACCCATGGCTTCCCTGTGTCTTGAGTTTAAAGGACAACATTTACCATGACACTCTAATCACAGGCTGACATGCTATGTTACAGTAGATTGATTCACTTTCACTTCCATTTTTACCTTGGAATAGGACCTGTTGCCTGATTGTCTTCCTCAGAATGAGGTAAGAATGAAACAAATAATGAACATGATGACACTTCACGGGTTAATATACATGATCTAAGGGAAGCTCAACTTTTCCTAATTCTATGTAAGCAAGGTGACATCTAAGCACTTTTCTGTATCACCACCAATACTACATAAAACATAAACCTGCAAGTCCCCTTCTTTTAAAGCAGTGAATCAGTCCTCATTTCTATGCTGCAACATATTAAACCATCACGGACCTAGGCATATCCAAATTGATCTCTAAATTGTGATGGTCTGACTTATTTCTAATAGAAATAGGTTTTCTGATTCATTCTGGACTGTTGTTGATCTTTAGTTTTTAATGTATAGATTAAGAACTTAATCTGTAAAATACTGAGGGAATTCTATTAGGATTTTTATAAGGGCGTTAAAGTACACAATGAAATGTCAGAAGATGAACCTTAAATACCAGTTTCTTTATTCATAAGCCCTTCATCACCTTCTACTATCTATTGTGTCAGTGCTAGGAGAAGAGGAACAAAAAACAGTCATTCTTTGAGCTGTTCCTAAATATTATAAACTACTTTTTATGATCTATTGTAGTTACTGAGAGTTCAGAGGATGTTCAAGTTTATGACTGAATAAACCTGATTCTATTATTCACTATCCTTCAATATTGAGCCCAAATACCATCAGTTCTCAGTAGTAAACTTTGCAGTTTGGCTGTGATTGTAGCAATAACTTTCTGTGGGAAATGATTAAATATCTGTTTGCTAATATTATTTTCATCTATTCTAAACAAGTTTAACTGTGTGAAAAGAAATCTAGTAAAAAACGACCGTCATATTAAGATGTATTTGTCATAAATTTTGAGTTTCTTTTCTCATAAAACAATAAAGTTTTTAATATAAAATCAGAATTAGTTTTTTAAGAGCACAGGAATATTGACATTCAAATTCCAAATATATGGTTAACGTGTATCTATCAGACTCTAGACTTCAGATTTTTTTTTTTATTTAAAATGGAAGTGAAAGTCTATCAATACATTTGAGAGGAAAATCACAACACATTAAATAGGTAAATTTGATTACTCAAAAGCTTGTGTGGTTGAATCTAATGAAGAACAGCAATGTAGAATAAATGCATTCTGTAAATATATTGAATGTTTTATTTTGCCAAAAATAATTTTAAAGTCATTACATGAGAACAGAAATGATATTTGAAATTATGTGTGACACAACATCAGATGCACAAAAGATAGAGTTGTTTGCTTTTAGGATTAATGTATCTTAGCTGTTCTCTATCTAGCATCTGATTGCACTTTGTCTTGCTGAGTTAGCTCAACACTACATTTTAAAAAACATTTTAGCAAAGACTGTATGTAATTGATTAAAACCTATTAACATATACTGGAATAATCTTCGTATTCTACAAAATATATTTCTATTCCACTTTTAAAATCACTGTAACAGGCTAATTTTCATCTTATCACAAACTCGATATATACCTCATCAGCAACCACCAGCACCTGGCTGCAAAATAGTAGATCAGGGCAGGGGTGTTCACTGAGTTGGTGCCCCAGCTGAGCCAATGAGCTGCATTCCCCAGCTGCTCTGTGAACACTGCTCACATGGAGTGAGGGGAGGGCCCAGCTAAGGAAGCCAGCTGGCAACCATCCTGTCAAGGGGCAGCTTTCCCTTTTCTTCTGCCTTTAATTAAGAGATGGCAAGAGGCCCATCACCAGGCCAGAGCAGAGGAGTCCAATGACCTCTATTAGAGCAGGGCAATGGTGGGTAGATGTGCCAGCTGGCAAGTGTGTGTGTGCCCTAGAAGGCTGTGCCACCTGTGGCTGGCCAAAAGCCATCCAATAAAAGATGGGTGTCACTCTGAAGGTTCCAAATGAGCTCTGGAAATCTACCAAAATCCCCACCTCAACATGGTGTAAAGGCTCATTATCCTTTTTCCTTCTGGAAGTGTTAGAATAATCTTTATGTATATATTAGAATGTTTAATCATTTGACTTGATAAAAGTTAAGGGAATTAATAACATTAACAAAAGAAATTTATAACTCCTACCAAATACTACATTCATTGTCAATTTTAAAAGTGTACAAAGGCAAATTATTATTATTGTATTTTACCCTAATCATAAAGAAACCATTTTCCCCAAGTTAAATCATTTTCTTTTTTTAAATATGGGTGTATGTATGCACCTGTGAATGCTGATGTGTATACATATATACACAGGTTCACATCTGCACTTGTGCACATGTGTTTGAAGACCAGAGGGCAATCTTTCAGTGGCATCCTCAGAAATGCCATCTACCTACATTGAGACAATCTCTCATTGACTTCAAATTCAAAATCAATTAAGAAAGATTGCTGACCAGGAAGCCCCAGAGAGCCTCCTGGCTCAACCTCCAGAGCACTGGAATTACAAGCATGCATTAGCACACGTGGATTTTTTACATGGGTTCTGGTTATCAAAAGCAGGCCTTCAAACATTTCAGCAAGTACTTTTCCAACTGGGATTTCCCCTGCCTTCAGATTACTTTTCTTACTCTCAGTTATAAAAATAATAAAACATATTAGGATACCATTAAATGCAAACTATGAAAAAATAAATCATATTAAAACTCTGATAACTGGAAAAGAAATTCTCCTTTCAAGAAAATCTTCCAGAATACGGATAGCATTCAGCAGGAATAGCAACAGAAAGCAACTCTTCCCAAAACACATTTAATATCTGTCTCTAACAGAAGCAGCAACCTAAAGAATAAAAGAGGCAGACATCCTAGCTCATACTGAATCATGTACATAAGCTGCAACCTGGTAGATAAAGCCAAGGTTGCTAACCAGGGAGGCATGGAAGGGATTTGGGGAGTAAAAACAGAAATACTGTTAATTGGTCTACATCATTGATAGAATAGAAGAAAAACAAAGTAGACACATGAACACACATCAAATGTTTAGTCTTAGTGCTGATGAACCATATTTCCACTAAGTTAGTGACCTATAATCATTTATATAATTTTTGGTGGAAAGATGTAAACAATAGTTTCCATTACATAATTTAATAGGTTAAAATCCATTTTAAGTACACTGATTAGAAATATAGAATGTTTATAGCCAAATTTTGTTTGTGTTTCCTTATATGTTTAATTCTATATAACTTTGCACTGTGTAGAGTAGTAAAAATTACAAAAAAAGTAGAAAACGTATTCTTAATTTATAAATTATTATACATAGAATGTGTTCATATTGTAGATGTCTGGAAGTCAAACGCAGTTTCTGATTACTAGAACCAGAGAATTGGGAATCATTGAGGCCACTACATTCTACCACATTAACCCCAATTTCTGACAGGAAATGATGCCATCCATGCTGCAAAATAATTTCTTCTCTAAGGTTATCTCTTAGAGCATTTTGATGCATTCAAAACTGCATTTTTGGTGTGGATAACACAGTACCAGGAAGGATAGTGGGAGAGGAGAACAATAAGAAGAAATTTTAATGGGACGTGAATGAAGTTGGCCTGATGAAATCAATTTGATTATACTCTATGGTAACTCATCAAATTACACAACAACAACAAAAATAAAACAGATTTAAAAAATCCCCCAAACAAAACAGTGTCACCATTTATGTTCTGTATGATCCAATAGTTACAGGCAACACTGGCATCAATAATAATTGACAGTATGATATCCCATTAACAAGATCAAAGAATCATCACAGCAGACATTAGAAGTCTAGATGTAAGATATAGGCAGCTCTCACTGCTTCATATTCCTTATATTGTGTTATCCTTAACTAAGATCCACATAGTTAATTGTAGAATTAACAATCAAAAGAAGCCATTTTCAAATCAAAAGAAGCCATTTTCAAATCCCTAAAAACTATGAAAATTATCATCGCCCCATTTTCTTAGACTCTTCTATTTTGTAAGCACAAAGAATCTTAGATTTGTAAGTAATTTTCATTGTCTAATCAGAGCATTTCGCATGTAGATGAAAAGGTCCATCCTCCTTTTCCAAAGTTCTGTGTTGGGAAGGTTTTTAGCGAACACAATTTTTTTCCATCTCATTCTTTCTTCCCTAAAGTGAAATGATGCCCCTGTGAGTTTCTGAGCATCTATTAAGAGCAGCTCCCTCATTCCACTCCACTGGGACTCCCTTCTGTGCTCCTGCAATGTTCTCCAACCAGCAGAGAGCCAGAACATTTGAGTCAAGGTCTCCACTTGACCTATTGGTACTGGCTTGGGCATCCATCTAACTTCTTTTTTCTCTTTTTTCTTTATTATTATTATTAAGAATTTTTTTATTCATTTTATATACCAACCACAGATTTCCTCCTCCTCCTCCTCCTCCTTCCTGCCTCCTAGCCTTCCCCCCCCAACCCACGCCTCATTCCCACCTCCTCCAAGGCAAGGCCTCCTATGGGGAGTCAGCAGAGCCTGGTACACTCAGTTGAGGCGGGTCCAAGCCCCTTCTCCTTGCAATATCTAACTTCTTAAAATCTTTAATTGAACTCAGATTATTCTAAAGGCATGCTATTTATGTCGAGGCTACACAAAAATCACATTGTCAGAGGATAGAGAGGTAGAATGATAGATAGATAGATGATCACTCCAGCATTTCAACCACATATGCTAACATAATAGAGATTATAAACTTACTCTGGGTTTCTAACAATTTGATTCTATTTTTTTATTCAAGACAAGGTTTCTCTGTAACAGCCCCAGCTGTCCTAGAACTTGCTTTGTAGACCAGGCTGGCTTCGACCTCACAGAGATCTGCCTGCCTCTGCCTCCGGAGTGCTGGTGTTAAAGGCATTCACCACCTTGTCCAGCCTTGATTCTATTTTCCATAGCTTACTTGATTATAGAGTCAAAAGAAAGTAAGAGGATGTTTATCTCCTTTAGATAACAACTGTATCCAAATGTAGATACAAACTTAAGACATAAGTTATTCAGAGAAACATGAGGAATCTTGAAAACAAAGAATGTAAAGAATGTATTTCTACTATTTTTGCCTCAAATTTCAAATATAGAGATTTAGACAGTTTTTACTGATGTGTTTGTGTGTGTGTGTGTATGTGTGTGTGTGTGATTTCTAGAACTTTAACACAACTGCTACTGTGATAGCTACCAGACCTAAGTAAACATAGTTTTCCTTGTGTGGTATTGCACTCACTAGTGAAAATCAACAGACTGAATATTCACTACACTTTTCAAAATCTTGTATGATCTGTCTTTTACTTACATTTTTTCATTGTGAGTGTGTGTGTGTGTGTGTGTGTGTGTGTGTGTGTGTGTGTACATGCTGAGCATGTGTACACATGTGGATGAATGTGCACACGTGTGTATTTATGTGGATATACATATATATGATACTCCAGAGGCCAGAGCTTGATGCAGAGAAACATTCTGATTTCCCATTCACCTTATTCAATGTGGTAGGCTCTCAGTCAAATCCAGAGCTCACCAACGTCGTACGTGTCACTGGCCAGCTTTCTCTGGAGACCCTCTTATTCTGCTTTCTAAAGCAGAAATTGCAGGAAGGCCGTCACATCCACTTGACATTTATATGGGTTTTGCGAATCCAAACTCAGTTCCTCATGCTTCAAGTGCAAGGTTTTTTAACCACCGTGTGGTTTCAGTAGTCCCCAAAGTGAAATCAGTTAAGCTGACTATACATTTTTATCCATGAGCAGCCCCCACAGAATGTGACAAGAGGGCTCACTGAAGGCATCTGCCCCCCTACAAGCACAATTGAAAAATAGACTTCTATTGATTTACACGTGAGAGTACAACCTCCTCTTGAGCAAACCTAGAACTGAAGTTGGTAAAGTGGAAAGAAAAAAGAAAAAGAGAGTTTTATTTTCTTAGTCCCACCTTTTCAAAGTACTTGATTTCATACTCCAGGATGATTCCGTTGGGGCGATCTGGCTCTTGCCAAGACAAAGAGATACTGTTCTTTCCAATCTTTCCCCTTTTCACATTAGTGACTGGTGAGGGAGCTGTAAGATAACACAAATAAAAAATAATGTGGTTAAGAGAGAAATTACAACTTGCCCTGTGTAATGACTGCATGTTATGATATAACTATTATTACATTTTCATTTATCCTGGAAAATTTTATTTTCTCTATGGATGTAGTTAAAGAATATTAGTATTTAAGCTATATAAAATTAGCTGCCCATCCTGAGAACCATGTATTAATACTGTAGTTATCTACGGTCTTCATGTTCTCCTCCAAAGCAGACAAATAATTTTAATTTATACTTTTATAGAATATATATACCTGGTGATTATACATATATTTTTTATAAAAGGTATTTAATGAAATTCAGTCTCTTTCATATGCCATGTTTCCAAAATGTACATTTCTATCCTTGATCCCTTTACTGTAATAAGTGTGTTATTTGCTAGATAACTATGTTTTCAAATATTCTTGCCCATTAATATATTTATAATATTATATTAAAAGTAAATTCATATATAAGATATATTAATGGTTTATATAAAACAATTTATTAAATATTATTTAACAGAATTTTTTTAAAAAGAAAGATTGAATTCCACTTTTTCCAATTATTTCATGACAAATCACTCATGGTGGTATTCATTGATATCTACTAGAGTACTTATTAGATGATTATTTCTAGTAAAAATGCAAAAAAAAATGTATACTCCTTCAGATACATCTAGATACTTGAGTTTATAAAACATCTGGAATTTTAGCCATAATCCATATTTATCATGGGCTGAGATATTTTTCAGACTCGATGGAGATGATAAATAAGGAGTTGATACTGATTCCATAAGACTATACTGCCCATTGTGGTCATAGCTATGCTATGTATATTATATAATATTTGTGCACAACTAAACCACCTAATGAAACATGTCACAGTAAATCCTCAGTAAGCAACAACCAATATACTTAGAAAAAGCACAGACACACATGATTTTATCTTAAAAATCATGGCTAAGTTACTTGCACTACCTAACATAATTTAAATGCTATGTTAATATTTGTTAGATGGTGGTGATTCAGAAAACCACAGGATAAAGTCCACATGTGTTCAGTTTATACATGATTTTCCCTTGGATACTTCCAACACAGAGACTGAAAGTGGTTGAATATGCAGATGAAGAACACATTTATGTGAAGGACTGGCTGTATGTGTGAAAATGTACATGGATGGAGGGACAGATTAGTGCAAAGTGGTTTTTAATGTGAATGATGTCAGCCATAAAGAATTGTGTATAATCAGAGACACAAGCCTGACCAGAAACCTGGTGAAGTTACATGTGTGTGTATGTGTACATAGTTATAAACAAATACATGTATGTCCATATGTTAAATAGAATTGTGAATATGGTATTACATACAATATATTATATATTTTTATTTGATTTCTTCATTGTCCAAAACAACTTTAAATTTAAATGTCCAGTTTTCAGCATTTTTTTTAAATTGTAGTAACACTAGATGCACTTTGAAAAACAGATCATGGAGATAATATTTTAAACTTCATTTTATTAGACTCCATGGCAGTGCGGACACATTTGGACAAGAGTCAGCTATTTTAAAAGATAAATAAGGCTATGCCTTTCCTATATTTAAAGCAACCCAGTGCCTTTCTAGGGCTTGCCTCAAGAGAAAGAGCCCAGATGTTCTTTCTGAGCCTCTGATTCTTCAGGGTCTTACCACTTGGTGTTGTGATTTACCAGCTCAAAGACTGGCCTCTCATTTCTTCTGCTCTGTACCTGAAAATCACTCTGTTGGCAGTTTAGCATTCAGAAATGTTATTTCTCTCTCTCTTTCCTCCCCCCGGTCTCTCTCTCACACACACACACACACAGACACACAAACATATACAGAGACCTCCCCCGCCCCATGCACATTGCTGACACATTCATGGACACACACCTCTGTGGTGATATTTTATTTGTGCTGAAATGTGGTGGTATCTTATTTGTATGTTAATAAATAAAGTTTGCTGGAGATCAGAGAAAATAGCAAGCCATTTTAAGTATACACAAAAGTCAGGCAGTGGTAGCACACACCCTTAATCCGATCACTTGGCAGGCAGGGTCTCTATGTTCAAGGCCACACTAGGGAACAGAGCCAAGCATGATGACACACACCTTTAATCCCAGTACCAACCATAGAGACCTAGAGGTCTGTACAGACAGGCAGTGACAAGGAAGTGAGGTAGCTGGGCTAAGAGCCAATGAGAGGGCAGAACAGCAAGGCAATAAAAGCCTGGGTAGACAGAAAGTCATGGCATTTTGGAAGTTGCAGAGCTGGTGAGGTAAGATGGGTTGGTGGCTCTCACTATTTCCCTGTTCTCTAAGGCTTTTACCCCTATATTTGGATCCGTATTTTTTTATGGTTTTAATAAGACCACTTTAGAAATTCGGCTACATCCTTCTCCTTCCTGAGGTTTCCCAGAGGCCTTAATGTGTTATAGCTTTCTGATAGCTACCAGAGCTCAACAATGCTCCCCTCATCAGCCCTGGTACTCCTTCTGTGTTCTATCATCATGATAAGTCTCACACTTCTCTACAGACATAGTGCATTTATACTCTTCTGGTTACTCCAACTAGGATGTAAATTTGAAAAGACAGTGATACTGTGTGTTTGTACATTTCTGGATCACTTGCATCTGGAACAGTGTGTGTAATCAAAGCAGGGGCCAATGAGTATGTACACAGTGAATGACTGCTGGATGTATGTCTTAACTTTTTTTTTGTTATTTTTGACCATTGATAAAAATTCAATAGTGAATGGTTTTCAAAAAGAAGAATTCTTTAACTTTGTCTTAATATTTATTTAATTTATACTTTATAAATAGATAAATAATATTATTAAATTTATGTATAATATAATTTATTTATAAATGTTTATATAACAGAGACTGATAAACTTAAGAGAATAATGTATAAGCTGCTTCTGTTTTATATAGCAATGATGAAGTGATGGTCTTGGTACATTAATGTTTACACTTAATTCTTTGAATGTCAGAGCTAGTGATATTTAGGTACAAAGGATTTCTGGTCTCTCCTTTGTCTTGCTTTCTCTCTATTTTTCCTTTAATAAGACTTGTTTTATTTTTAATTGTGTGTGTTTGAGAGTGTGAGTGTGTGTGTTGCCATGACTGTGGGAGTTCAAATGCAGACTCCAGGATCCATGGATCCCCTGGAGCAAGACCTGCAGGTGGTTGTAAGCTACTTGATATGAGTGCTGGCAATCTAACTCTGCTCACCTGGAAGAGCAGGAACTGCTCCTAAACTCTGATCCATCTCTCCAGTACTTGTTTTATGTCCTTATACATGCCAGGCTTACAGGATTGTATGGAGTATTTCATAGCCATAATGTAACTATATGCAAAAGTATTTTCCATTTGCTTCCTTCTGTCGAAACTATGACTGACAGACAGTTCTAAGTAACATTCTTAAGAAAGTTCAAATTGCCTATGAGTTTGTTTGAGGGAAGAATTATATGCAGCATTTATACACCAAAGGATATATGCAGCATTTTCGACAAAGAATTGAGAAGACTAGGGAACACACAAGAGTAAGCCATACACCCCCAACCCACTGTGGTGTTTGTAGAAAAATAGAAATACATTGAAGTAGTAACAGAGGATTAAGAAACAATTTTTTTCTCAAATATATTTTTCAAGACTGATAGCCTTGTGGATTATCTCATTTTCTCATATCCACTGTATATTTGTTGCATGGCACATTAGAAAGAAATGAAGGCATAAATTAAAGTTTAAAACTCCTCATTTAGTTTAGCACAAATATTGCTTAGAATTGATACATTTCTTATAGATGTCAGTTTTTATTAAATAAGTTGATACGATTGCCAACTATCTCTTCACTGATTTTAATAAGGTAGAATAATTTGGTTTATTTAGTGTAATCTTTATCAGTTCTGGTATTTGCTTACCTTATGGAAATTTATTAAAAAATGACTGACTAAATGGATAGATAAATGAATGGTAAATGCATATATATTAATATATATATATATTAATCACACACACACACACACACACACACACACACACACACACACACACACACACATATAAGTTACTAGGGCTAACATGCTCCCCATGACAACCATACACTAAAAAACTCCAAGTATCAGGTGAGAGAATGCTCCTTATAAATAGTTGGTCGAGTAAACCAAATGATTCTCAAAAAAATAGGGATTACCAATGTGGCCCTTGGTTGTCTCTCAGAGGTTGAAAATGACACTAGTTGCTGAAGACATCCCTTAGGACACAGAACTCATATGATTTGTTCTGATTCTAACTTAAAAGTCTTTTTCCTGTGATCTAACTTATGTAATTCCAGAACATATATTATAGGTTGCCAAGGGAGGAGAGCAATAAACATTCCTACCATGATGCAATGCCTATGAAGCATGCAATTTATCAGAGTGGCAAGCTATGCATAAAGGTGCGATGGCTGACACTCACATGTTGGTAGCAAATCGCTGTCTAATTGGATTTAAGGCCTACTTAATTGGAGGAAAATCAAGCTTGATACTGGAAATGCAGCCAGCTTCCCAGGGTTTCTTCTGTCATGGACCTTAGTAGGGAAAAAAAAATCTACTACTTCCACTTTTCTAGACGAGCATAACTCCTTACTACATTAAATCTTAAAACTATACCCACAGATTAGTATAGTGAACAACCTTCATCAAAAAACTCTCTCTGTTTTTTAACTTTTCAGAATATAGCATAATTACATTTCTCCCTTCAGTGTCCTTCCTCCAAACCCTCCCGTATACCCCTCCTTTCTCTCTTTCAAATTCATGATTTTTTAATTTATTGTTATTAAATTCCTGTATGTTTATGTGCATACTTAATATTCAAAAGCACAACTTGCTCAATCTGTACAGTGATTCTTGCATACATATTAACTGGCTATTTGGTACTGGATAGCCAATTGGTGTGCTCTTACTGGGAAAGACTATTTTTCCCTGCTCTTA